TGTATATTTTAGTGCGTCATATAGATGTTTTTTTCATTTCCGAATGCGTTTAGCACATTGTGGCCTTCTTCGTAGATAATATTGTTAAGAGTTGGCTTTTTCTTTTTTATAATAAAAGCTTCCATTATTTTTAATATTTATTCATGGGTGGAATATATTAACTACAAACAAAACCACAATATAAATACATTGACCTCTATTTGTCGATCAATTTCAGTATTTTATATAACTAGGACCCACTTGGATCATATACCAAGGAATTTATTACCTGTATTGATCGGATTCTATATCCTACTAACATGCATATATATATATATATAGATAGATAGATAGATAGATAGATAGATAGATAGATAGATAGAGTGTGTGTGTGTGTGTGCGTGTGTGTGTGTGTGTGCGTAGAGGAAGAAAATGAATAAAAAGAGACAAAAGTTGAAATTATTCTTAGTAGACGTGTTTCAACACCTGGGACTTTATCAAGGCAAACGTAAGGATTTATTTTGTTGCACGTGTTTACGTACGTGAGCAAGTGTGTATGGTTTCTCAAGGTGTTTAAATTTGAGAACGTTCATGAATGTTCATCGTGTGACTGAAAGGTCAGTCGAAATATATGGAGGACACAATGTGTCATAATTCAAAATCTGGCAAAATGTATTTAAGATTTTTTTAAAATGAATAATGTTTAGATTGTGATTAGAGTGTTACGGTATTAGTGTGTTCTATACATCTTCAAAAATATGAGGTGATGTATTTAGCCGTTTTCTTTTGATGTTTCTACATAAACACATGCAACTAACTGAATCCTACATTGCCTTGATAATATCCATCAGAGGACGAAACGCATTGACTAAGAATAGTTTTCCTCTTTTTACTGATGATATATATATATATATATATATATATATATATATATATATATATATATATATATATATATATAAGTCACCATTCCACCCCGCACAAAAAAACAAAGCACGACATTTACAAGTTAATAGAGCAATTATCCTTTAGTTGACCTTGTTTCTAATGCAAAGATTATTTTTTTATAGGGAAATGCGTCATCGTCGCCATTATTGTTTAGTCAGGTGAGCAGATTCTAATACGGTCGACTATCCGTAAGTGACAGGTACGCTTTGTCACCTGTTTCGGTGACATTGAGTCAAACCTTATCTTAAGAGCAAGGAGGGTCTTGACTTACAATTAAGATGTAATGTTCTATATATTTTTTTTCAAACTGCGCCATAATCGAATAAACATACGGTATAGATTCATGTCGGTCAACAGGTATTCTTCTTGGAAATAAAATATGGCTGCATAGAGATTTATGTTTTATTCAAAATAAAACACACACACGTACACATTCGCGATTATAAAGAACTTTATAAGAACAAAAACATTCTATTTCGGAAGAGTGATATATCCAGCATATCCGTTATTTTAAAGTAGATTGACTATCTCATAATAAACCTATATATATATATATATATATATATATATATATATATATATATATATATATATATATATATATATATATATGTGTGTGCGTAAAAATTTCTCAGAATTAACCTGTAGAAAAAGATAATATGTAGAAAGGAAAAAGACAATAGGAAAACTGTAGTTTTGATTTTATAAATGCTATACTCATAAAAAGGGAAATAATTCACACAGAAGGAAATTTCTCGAGAGTGCCGTCATTGAATATTATCCAAATATTGATCTACGCCCCGGTTTTTTCCTAATATTACCTTTCCTAACAGAATCACTACTCTCCCAAGCCAACGTACACAACAAATATATCAAGAAATCAAAAGAAAACGGTTGAATCCGACAATACAACAATACAAACAATAGTTGTGCATGCGAAAATATTCTCTTCAAACATGAAGTGATTGACGTAATTTTTCAGTTGGCCATATGAATATACAATAGCGTTGATTTTAAGATATTTTTTATATTTATATGTTCTTTTTATAGATACAAATATTTAAGTAAATGCTTTGTTTATAATAAACAGTATTAACAACATTTACCGGTCTGAATGTCCGAGAAATTTTCATAGAAAATATGGGTCCTCCGACAGGAATCGAACTTGTATCCTATACGGAACCGTCATATAGCCTGACGTGCTTTTACCGATTTAGCCACAGAGGAGCGTTTCGGTTAGCAAGGTAGATTTTATTGTTTTTAAACTACAATTCTCCATGATTTTCTCTCGTGCAGTCATATCTAAATGTAAACAAATGACGTCACACGTTATGAAATGGACAACGTCCGACGATTATTTTAAGACATTTTTATGTTTATATATTCTTTTTATAGATACAAATATTTATGCTCTGTTTATAATAAAAATTATTCACAATATGCGAACGGCATTTCTTTTATTGTTTATAAATACTTTGTTTCAATAAATTCAGTTTTATCCAGATCGGACGAAACGGGTCGGCTAAAACTACAGTTCTACTATTGTCTTTTTTCCTTTATGCATAATGTCTTTTACAAAGGTTAATTCTGAGAATTTTTTACATATTTGTCGACATCGAAAACAAACACACGCACATACATTATCACCATCATCAGAATATACATGCAACAACTAACATAGGCCTATTCACATAAAAACACGAAAAAGTATATTATTTGCATTATTCGGACTGTTGTCCTCATCTTTGTCGCCATATTTATTACAACGCTTCGGCCGTTGTACCCTCCTGCCTTCTTTAGGCGTTTGGGATGTCGAACTTAACCCTTTATTTTGCTCACTGGAGTAGACTTTTCTAGTTCCACGTGCCATGTTTAATGGATGTCAGTTATCAGTTATATTTTGTTAAGTTGTCCCCTGCCTTAATCTTAACCGGGTATTGAACTCACAGTCTTTGGGTCCTGTCACTGGATCTAACCAACACCTTTATCCACTGCGCCATGACACATAGCACAGTGGATAAAGGCGTTAGTTAGATCCAGATAACTGACATCCATTAAACATGGCACGTGGAACTAGAATATTCTACCTCAGTGAGCGAAATAAAGGGTTCAGTTCGACATTCAACATAAACCACGGAATGAAAAAAGAAGGCCAAAAGCAAATCACAACGGCGTAAACTTTGTAATAAATATGGCGACAAAGATGAGGACAATAGTTCGAATAATGTAAATAATGTACATAATACTTCATCTCGGAAATATACACAGATACTGAAGAAAAACTATCTTAGAAACTGTGCTGATGAAAAAGATATTCGTCAATGCTCACGCAAGCAAATTCAAATTGTCTCACCATTTTCCCTCTTTATGTCCATTATTTTTTTTAATATTCAATACAGGAATTAGAAGAAAAGGTTTATTTTTACCACAAACATCCATATATACTAAAAAACACCGGAAGTTACCAACATAAACACGGACGGAATATAAAAAAAGAAGATTAATCAATTATTTTAAAAAATAATAAGAAAAATATCTGAGCACTGTTTTTTGCAAAAACAAACTCAGTATACTGCTTTAACGATAGAAAATGGTCTAAGGTTGACAGAAGAGACCTAATAACAAACTTATCCAAATTCCAACTATCGGATACACAATTAGAAGGCCTCGGCTTTGGTCAGAATTTTGCCACTGGGATACCAAAATATGACACCACGGATTACATAATTAAAAATCATCACAATAATGACTCCGATTTTACCAAACGCTACAGAAAAGGCCTAATCACAGCTACATAAAAAAAACAAAAAAAAAAAACGAGCTACACAGCACTTTCTTGAAGATATATAAAATCTCTGAAAGAATTAGCTAACAATAAAAACATCCATTATCTACTTCTGATAAGGGCGGGGGAATTGTAATCATGGGTAAACAAATTTACCAACACAAAATGAGAGAACTCATTAACGATGATAACATCTATGAATAAGTAAATGAAAACAAAGAAAAGAAACATAAAAATTCACAAGCGACGTCAAAAAGCTACTAAAAAATAAAGCCTTCTCCTGGATAAAATTTATTGAATACCATCCAAAAACACCCACATTATACGGACTACCAAAAACACAGAAACCGAATATACCAAAAGAGACCTATCATATCAGGAGTAGGCAGCGCTTTACATAAACTCGCCGACAACCTAAGCAAAATCTTAACCCCACTCATCAGCACTATTATTAGTCCATCATACATAAAAAATCTGGTGGCATCATAAACAAATTAAAAAACGTAGACATTAAAACAAATATATGGCTAGTTTAGACATAAAATCTCTATACACAAACATCCCTATAGAGAAATACTTAAATCTACTAAAAAACATCTAACAAAAGAAATAAAATTAAATTACCTCTACCTGCACATAAAATCATGTTAAAATTATGCCAGACTCTAATCATTTCGATATCAAGACACAAAAATTTTTCTTTTCTTTCTATATATATATATATATATATATATATATATATATATATATATATATATATATACATATATATTTTTAAAAATATGATTCCTTCCCAAAAATATAAAAAATAATTATACATATATATACATTATTAAGCTCTACTTCTATATAGAGCACTGTTTTTTAAAGTAGAAACAAAAATACTAAAGAACTCCGGAACCTAACGTATTTTTTCCTATTTTCTACATATCTGCATATATATATATATATATATATATAGTAAAATTATGTACGGTGTGTTTCTATAGTAAAACAATTTGAGGTATTATGTCAAAAAATCATTAACAATGAAATTTCTTTAGAAAATGCCATTTTTTATGCCATTTTACTTGAAAACACTTAACGATGTTGCATATATCAGTCGTGCGCCTTGGTTATATGAGACGAATCAAAAAATGACAAGGAGCAAGTTAGGGAAATGTCGATATAAAAAAAAAGTGAGACGGGGAAAATGAATTTATCCCGAAAAAAAAAAAAAAAAAAAACAGAATAAAAAGCAAAACTGAAGGACGAGATAAGTACATCAGCTGTTTCTTATCTATTCTTTTTAAGAAAGAAAGAAAGAAAGAAAGAAAGAAAGAAAGAAAGAAAGAATCGAACGAACAAACAACGAATAAATGTAGAAAAACAAACAAAAAAATAAATATAGGAGAAAAAGAAAGAAAGAAAGAATGAAAAGGAGGAGAGAAAGAAAGAAACAAACAACAAGAACAAAAAAAAACGCCAAATAAACGACGAAACAAAGAAAAGTGTAAAAGAAAGAAAAATGAAAGAAACAAACAAACAACCAATCAAATAAACAAAAGAGAAAAGAAAGAAAAGAAGAAAAGAAGAAGTGAAGATAAAGAAAGAAAGAAACAAACAAAAAAGAGAAAAGAATAAGAGAAGAAAAATAAGAAAAGAAAGAAAAACAAATAAACAAAGGCGAAAAGAAAGAAAGAATTAAAGGAAGAAAGAAAAACTATAGACAAACAAGAAAGAGAGAAAAAAATAAATGAAAAGAAACAACGGAAGAAAGAGTAAAACGAAAAAGAAAGAATAAAAAACTATGAATAGACGCACAAAAAATAAATGAAAAATTAAGAAGGAATGACGAAAAAGTAACAACCAACCAATCAAATAAACAAAAGAGAAAAGAAAGAAAAAAGAAGTGAAGATAAAGAAAGAAAGAAACAACCAATCAAATAAACAAAACAAAAGGAAACAAAAGAAAAAAGAAGGAAAAAAACCAATCAAAGAAATATAAGAAACAAACAAATATACATATATATAAACAAAAGGGAAAAAAAAAAAAAAAAAATATATATAAGAAGTGAAGATAAAGAAAGAAAGAAACAACCAATCAAATAAACAAAAGGGAAAAGAAAGAAAAAAAGAAGTGAAGATAAAGAAAGAAAGAAACAACTAATCAAATAATCAAAATGAAATAGAAAGAATAACGAACAGAAAGAAAGAAAATGCATAAAGGAATGAATAATCGAATGAAGGAATACAAAAAAAAAATAATGAATGAAAACCAATATTAAAAAAAGGAAGAAAAATTGAAAGCAAATCAACGAAACTAAAGGAAGGAAAAAAGAAATAAAATATTAAAGATAAGGATGAAAAAAAAAGAAAAGAAAAATGAAAAAAGAAATAGAAATGTCTGAAGGAAGAAGGAAAGAGAAAAAAAAAAGAAAGAAAAACAAACAAGAAAAGAATGCTGGGCAAAAACGCAATCAGAGTTAAGTACATCACCTGTTTTATCTATTCTAGGTATACATACATTAAAAAAAAAAAACATATTACATACAGCATTTGGAAACAATAAAAAATCTAAAAAAAAAAAAAACGATAAAAGATGTTATGATAAATGCGGTATTCATTCCGCTGAGTCTAAATAGCACGGAACGAGGTTACCTTCCATCTTACCTCACATTGCATACGCAGCGTCAATATATATATATATATAAATGTCGCATAGAATGAATATATATACATATATTTATATACGTATATATATATACATATAAAATACATATATAAAAAAATTTTATTCTCTACATATATATATACACTCACATACATATATACACATACATATATATATATATATATATATATATATATATATATATATAGATAGATAGATAGATTGATAGATATAGATATGTGTGTGTGTTTATATAATAAATATTTTATTTTGCCGTTTGCAATTTATATATATAAAACCAAGTACTAAGTTCAAATATAACTTTCAGTGTTTTGTTCAATTACCAGCGTTGGTTCAGTAAATAGACATATTATATACTTTCTTCTCTTGGTCAGATGTTCTCACTCTTTTCGGTTCCATTCTTTCTTTTGCCACTCGTGTCTAACTGGGACAATAGTCCAGCTTTACTTCATTCAAAGACATTGTTTTTCTTATTATTTGTGGAGAGCCATGATCGCCAAGGTGCTGAAGGGACATGCCACATCGAAGAATACATAGAATGACGCCCTCAAAGCGGATATATTTATATTAAAGCCCACATATATATATATATTTTTCCTCTGAATTTTATTGTACAGATGTTTATTCTGTTCCCCGAAATAAAGTACACGATCTACTGATCTGTCTTGTGCATTTGACCGAATTTCTTGCGCACCTAACAAGGATCGAACTCTAAATCTTTGGCTAACGAGCTTACCATTTTATTGCTCCAAACCACCCATATATATATATATATATACAAGACATTATATTTCTTCGTCAGGTCACATATTCCATCATAATAACAGTTATTGCTTTATATTATTTTCCTTTACGCGGATTCGAGTACTATCAATCTATTTTTAACATTATTTTAATATTTGTAATATTGGGAACTATATGAAAATGTCTGCTTTAATTTGAACTATTATATTCTTAAATATCAAATATTTTAAATATATATATACAGTGTAACCCGGATAAATAAGAGACCAGGATATAAGAGACACCCGGATGTAAGAGATTTTTCTCTGGTCCCGTAAAAAAAAAGAGCCTGTGTTAACTTCATCAAATGGCGTATATAAATAGACCAAACAGGGATGTTTTTCTGCCAGAGTAAAAACCCGGATATAAAAGATTATTTTTTGGCTATTGGATTCTCTAGTCCCCACAACTCTCTTTTATATAAGTCGGATTTACATTGTGTATATATGTATATATATATATATATAAATAAAAATATTCATTAAACTATTATATATATATAATGTGCCATCACCGATATATATATCAAATGGCACCATATATATATATATATATATATTAAATATTATAAAGAAAAATATATATATATATATACAATATTTAAAATTTAAGACTATAAAAGCATCTTATTTCAAAAGAAAAAGCAATATTTGGCAGCAAAGAAACAGGCATGTAGTTCTCAATAAATTAGAAATATTAAAATAATATGAAAATAGAGTTTTGGATCAAAATATGATAATGTTACTTAACAGTAAATATCAATTTTTGATGTTGTTTCTATGAATATATCAATATAAGAAATAAAGAATCAGACCGTTGTCAGAATTCTTTTCTAAACAACTGAGACTCTTTGAAGAATTGAACAAAATTCAAAGAAATTTCGATGTCGGGGAAAAAAATGCAAAATTTCTATTTACAGATAAATAACTTTTCGGTATATAATATTATATATATATATATATATATATATATTTCAGACATGGTTTTCGTTACCAAAATCCAAAGACACAATGAAACACAAATTTCTTAGAGAGCAAACAATCGGATTTCGGAAGCGTTAAAATTTGCCTAGGGAATGGGTGCCCGACGTGTCGGGATGGTGACCAGTAGTTCGCGCCCACAGAACGGTCGGGGAGATAGGCCCTGACAGCAGAGATGCAGTCCTATGTAGAGTGAACAACTAGACATAAAGTTCAACCAACAATTATTTTTTTCTTGATAGACTTTTGAACTTTTTGAGTTTTCAGCGTTTTTTGCATATTTGTGTGTTATCACCCCGTTGAACTCAATTTTTGCATTACGAACTCAATTTGCATTTATTTAACCCCTGTTTGATCTCGTCTGTCTAAGATCAATTCACAACGTGGGTAGGCAGACTGGAGATCAGTGCAGTTACCTTGGTAACCAGGCGTTGGAAGCAGGTTGGGAACGGCGAGGCTGATATTAAATCTAACCAGATTCCCACCCGAATCACCAAAAGGTTAGAACGTCACATTTGGGTGCCGCGACCGATACCAAGCCAGTTGGTCGTCACAGTACGAGACAACACGACTGACGCGACAGGCGAACGTCACGTTTGGAGCAGCGACACCTGGACGGAGCAGCGAGGAGCGAACAACTGGCGCCGCGGCGAAGAAACAATTGGTGCTGTTTAGGGACGTCACAACTGGTGTCGTGACCGGGATTCTGGAACGGCCACGTCACAACTGGCGCCGTGGTAGATCAGGATAGGTCACAGTTGGCGCTGCGACGGAGGACGACGTCACAAATACAAATAGGAAATATGTCTTTAAATACATGCATTGACTTTATACAGCAACAAGAATTAATACAGAAATACAACCATCAAAAAAAAGTCAACCCAGTGAACAAATATTCGCTGATATGTACATGTTAAAAAAGATAAGAAAATGTTCGTATTTTGGACGTGAACATTAAATAAAAAGGGAAAAACACCGAGCATTTGAAAAAAACCTGTACAAATTGCTTAAAAAAGAACCACTTTCAAGCAGTATGCAAATTCAAAAAGAAAAACGTTGAAAGAGTTGAAGAAAACGAAACCAATATGAAAATCTTCACATTAAAAAATAAGAATATAGAAAAAATTGAACAAAAGAAAAAAGATATTATACTAAAGGTTAAATCAACAACTGCAATTTAGATATGCAAATTGATACTGGGAGTGAAGTAACGCTGATACCAAAAAATTTGGGGGAACGCATTGGAAAGCCACCTTTACGAAAGAGCAGTTTACAACTCCGCCAATTTGATGGGTTGGTCATAAAAACCTTAGGATACTTTGAAGGTTCCTTGGAGTTAAAAGATAAATTTGAAGTAATACCTATAATTGTCACAAGTTGTAAAAAGAACCACGGACTTCTTGGAAACGACGTGCTTAACATAAATTCTACCAAATTAATTAATGAGATAAAAATGGAAAAAACCGTAAAGTTAAAAAACTATAAAACTAGTTTAAAATTAAAAGAAAATGTCTCCCCCTCTTATTATGAGGCACGAAAATTACCAGTACATTTGTTGCCATTAGTAGTGACAAAACTATGAAAGTTAATAGAACAAGACCTTCTTGAACATGTTCCCACTGGGGGTAGCAAGTGGGCATCACCCATTGTAGTGTTGAGGAAGACAGATGGTGATTTACGTATTTGTGGAGATTACAAAATAGGTGTAAATCACAAAGTTTGTTCGGATTCATATCCTATACCGAATGTTGAAGTTGCATTACACGCACTGGCAGGAATGAGTGTTTTTACAAAAATAGATTTAAAAACGGCATACCACCAAATACCAAAAGACGATAACTTCAAAGAAGTAACCACGATAAATACACCAATAGGGTTACTAAGATGGAAAAGAATGCCATAAGGAATAAAAACTATAAGCGCCATATTTCAAAGGGCCATCGAACAGGTTTTAGAAAATATGGAAAATATGATTTGTTACCAAGACGATATATGCGTAGGAGCTACTAATGAAAATGAATTAAAAAAGAAAACCAACATAATCGTGAATAGATTAAGAAATGCTGAAATGACAAACGAGAAAAAATGCGTAAGCATTTGTAGTAAAATATCTTTTTTAGGTTATTCCATTTCAAAAGAAGGTATATCACCAGACCAGGCCTTGATAGAAAAAATACTAAAAGTAGCTACACCTACAAATAAAAAAGAACTGGAGTCTTTTTTGGGATTGGTGAATTTTTACAGGCGATATTTACCAAAATACACGGACTCGACTGAACAGTTTTCAAATTTAAGAAAGAATTTCAAAGAAGAATGTTGAATTTATGTGGTCAGAGGAACAACAACAATCTTTTGATAAATTAAAAGTAATTATGGCGAAGAAGCCAGTAGTGAAAATGTTTGATCCAAAAAAGGACATTGCGTTAACCACAGATGCAAGCGAACATTCGATATCGGGAATATTATCACAAGAAGGATATCCGATAATGTATTTATCAAGAAGACTAACGAACACCGAATTTAATGATTCAAATATAGAGAAAGAAGCATTGGCTATTGTGTGGACAACTGGACAATTTTTAATTGAAAAAAAAAAATTCTCTAAAGAAGTGATCATAGACCATTAGAGTTTATATTTAACCCAAAGAAAGAATTACCCAAAGTGACGACATCGAGGATACTAAGATGGGCAATAAGATTGATGGCATTTGACTTTGATATAGAATATGTCAAAGGAAATTCAATTCCACATGAATGCACTATCAAGATTGCGATTTTTTTCAAAACAGAAGAAGAATTTGAAGATGCATTCTTACATTGGGTAGAGACTGATGTTTTGTCTTTAGATAGAATGGCTGCGGAAACTAGACATGATCCAGTACTAAGTAGGATAATATTGAGAATAAGAAAAAACTAATGGGGAAATTGTTCTAGGGCGGAAAGACCCTACAAAGAAATAAGACAGAAATTAAAGATAGAACATGGAGTGATTTTTAATGGGGATTTGGTAGTGACCCCAGAAACACAAAGAAAATTGGTAATAAAAAGTGTACATGATTATATACACTGTGGAGTAGCGGCCACACAAAAAAGGATAAAATTAGAATCATGGTGGCCGGGATATTCAAGAGATGTCGAAGAATATATAAAAAGGTGCAAAAAATGTAAAGAATTAAGAAACTTTACACAGACTACTTTACATTCGTGGCCCAGAGAAGTGGAGCCATGGAGTCGGGTGCATATGGATCATGCATATATTATTGGAGTGGGACTCTTATTAATTCTAGTAGACTCTTTTTCAGGATGGCCTGAAATAATCCGGGTGCCAGACAAGAAAAGTTCTAGGATAAAACAGATTCTAAGGGTCATATTTTTTCAGAAACGGCATACCAAAAACCCTGGTATCTGACAACACACCAGAATTTTGTGATGAAGTTCTTAATTTATGGTTAGAAAAAATAGGATGTAAACCGTATAAGACACCCCCATATCACCCTCAGTCGAACGGGTGAGCGGAAAAAATGGTGCAGACCGTAAAAACAGGACTAAAAGCATGCTCTCAGTTTTTCTACCGAGGCTGCTTTTAAGCTATTGCACAATATCCACACGCTGGAAGACTAGAAAGCCCATCAGCTTTAATGGGAAGACAATTAGAGCTCCGCTAACGATGTCGTATTCCACAAATGAAAAAATGCGGTACAAAAAGAACAAAGCAAATCCGGAAAGGGCAGAATTTATCATGCAAAAAGGCCACAATACAGCAATAATAAATAGAGAAAACGGCAACAGTGTATTAGCCCATGCAGATCAAATAAGTACCCAGGGTGAATATGAAGAGCAAAATGATGAAGAAATGTCTACGATTCCGTCCGTTAATGATTTATTAGAACAACCGTTACAAAATGAAACATCAGAAGACGAAATAATGCAGGATCAAGTGGGCCAGAATGAGTTTGAAAGTTTGGACGAAGATCAAATAATGCAAGAAGATGCCTATGATTACAGCGTAGCGCGGGACAGATCTAGGTCTCCCAGAAAAAGAAATTCGGGAGAGAGAGAAATAGAGCAAAGTAATGAAACTATCACGAGAAGAAATACAAGAACTACTAGAGGTATAAAACCTATACGTTTCAGGGAGATGTAGTGACACTGGCAAATTAATATGCCTAATTTGCATAAGTGCAAGAAAAAGACTATATAACTGGTCACTGAGAATAACGTAAAAAAGAAGAATACAAGCTTAGCGACTGACTAGTGCTAAACTTGGACATCGCAACACTTTTCAAAATGGTTTTGTCTATGAACATGTTTACTGTTTCGTTCTCCTTTTTATCTTTCTTTTTTTTATCTTTCCAACAACTTTCAAAATCTTTCTAGGAAGGTAACGCCTGTTAGGGTCCCAGCTATGGGTACATAGCGAACACACAGACTGGGGTCAAAAGACCAAAATACAAAAATACATTTGAAAAAATTACCAGGAATACATTTTTATAGTAAAAAATACCAGCAATATATTTTTTTTCAAAAAAAAAAAATTACTACAGCTCACAAGAAAAAAAGAATTCGCCATTGAATGACCCATGAGGAGTTGATATGCCGTTAAGCTTAGTATATTTATTCTCGTTTCTCAGGAAACAACCTCTTATTGCTACTTTTGTTGTTTTCCAGTGATTTTTTTTTTCATTAAGAGGATTCTGTAATAAGAAGAAATAGTAAAGCAAAGTTGCATTTTCTGCTTACTATGGTGGATTACCAGAAACATTTCCAATGAACTCGTAAGAATAATTGTAATGAAAAAAATATTAGGCTACGTTTTTTCTAATGGAATCCAATTTTATTCCTTTGAAACAGTTGCTTCTCATCTATTAGTCGATTAATGCTTTCAGTTGGTCAAATTAGGAGTAGTATTTATTCGTATCTATCCTTTGTTTTCCAGATAAAGCTTAGAATTACGTGTTACCTTATTACTACTTATTAACTGATATAAAAAAAAAACTACATATAAAAGCGGCTAACATAAACTGGTAGAAATTCTTTTCAATGCATGATTTGGATGTTATCAGCTTATCTGTTTGCTCTGTATATTTTAAATGAACTCATTGGATCGCTATCAGTTTCAACTGGTCTGCTTCTTTAAGGAGATTTTTCCCCGCAAGATATACACTGTAAAACTTCGAAAACCATGTTTGACATGTTCAAGAATTTACATAATTTCTTCATAATTTGTATGCATCTTTTTCGCGTTTGACTTACAATTCTACAATTCTTAAACTAAAAAGAACAGTATGTCGAAAATGATCATTTTCTTCCACTTTTGAACTGATTGAATAAAATTAAAACTTTCAAAATAAAAAAAAAAAAGATTTAAACTACACTCTAATATGGAATTTTTTACGGTGCAATCAAAAGCAAAAGTTTTATGTCATTTATAAAACTCAACGTTCTAATATCATTTGATGAGTGACAGAACGTAAGTTTAGAGAAAATAAAAACAAAAAGTACACTTATACTTAACCTAAGATGACAGCAGGAGTTTCTAAGACACATAATGAGGAAGGAGGTTTGTAAAATTTGACACTCACAGGGCATACTGAAAGCAAGATGGACAGAGAAAATTTTTAGCATAACCTACCTTGGCAGAACAGGGTTACAGGACATCAAATTTTACTAAGGGAACATTGAAGAAGGAGGAGAGAAAGAAGACGATTAAGAAGAAGAGGAATAAGGAGGAGAGGAGGAGGAAGAAGAAGAAAGAGAGGAATAAGGAGAGAAGGAAGAAGACGATTAAGAAAAAAGAAGAAAAATGAGAAAGACGACGACGATTAAGAAGAATGAGAGGAAGAAGTGAATAAGAAGGGAGAAGGAGTGGGAGAAGACGAAGAAGAAAGGAGAAGGAGGAGGAAGATGAGGACGTATATTTCAGGATAACAAATATATTGCCCAGTGAATATGGATTATTTAGAGGAATAGTTGGCAGGATATTTGAACCAAGGTCTCTGAAAATGTTTCTTTCGCCAATAGTCGAACGATAGTTTCATTTCTCTTTGTCTTTTCACGGTTCCATCCGGTTTTCCCTACGAGCCATTTTTAAGTCTGGCCATTTTTTGAGAAACTTCCGCCATTGCCAAGCGACCAACGAGGCGCTCAGTTGCAAGAAGGACAGTGAATTCAATACACAACCATCAGACTTAGTATTCCCGCCCTTTAGAGAGATAAACATTCATATCTATCTATCTATCTATCTATCTATCTATCTATCTATCTATCTATCTATCTATCTATCAAAAGCATCCATATTTGTGTACACACACACACACATATATATATATATGTATGCATGTATGTACATATATATATATATATATATATATATATATATATATGTGTGTGTGTGTATATGGATATATAGATAGATAGATAGATAGATAGATAGATAGATAGATAGATAGATAGATATGTACACTCTCGTATAGAGATCGAGCCACATAGGTATAAACAGATAGACACATAGATATAGTAATACTCAGATAGATACTCGGAAAACGACTGAAATAGATAGATATCAACTGAGATAGATATGAACATCTCGAGATAGATAGATAGATAGATAGATAGATAGATAGATAGATAGATAGATAGATAGATAGATAGATGCAGAGAGAAAGAGAAATTAGCAGATTGCAACAGAAAGAGAATTTAAAAAGTCTCTTTTAGGATTTCACATATAATTGTACGACTTTCAACTAAATAAGAGTGAGAGTATTTTTAAAAGTATACGAAGATACACGATAACTAGATTACATTAGTAGTTTCCCCGTATCTGTGGAATCTGCAACTGTAGACATCATTAT